TGTGAAAAAACGTTTACAATAATTATCTCAGAGGTGAGGTTTTGGATGATTTTAACTTTCTTACTTAGATTTTCATGCACTGTTGGAATTGTATTCAAAGATCATGTATCACTTTTTATAATCTGAAACCAAACGGTAAAAGGACATCCTCCTTTTTGTCACAGATATCTGTGTGCAGTTTCAGAGGTTTGCAGGATGGTGGCAGTGAGTTCCCCCACATCTGGTTCCCTTATAGTAGCTTTCCCCTCAAAAATCTACAAGGTCTGCTCAGCACACAATCTAAAAGGAAGGGTGTTACGGAGGGCATGATGCCTTGGATCTTCAAATAGACGTTGTTAGTACAAGGGTGGGTTAAGAGGTTCCCACGGCATCAAGAAAATGTCTCTGTTTAAGAGTAAAAGTTAGGAAGAACAGAATGGTTGATTTGAGCCTCTGTGGATGTGACCACGTTGAACAAATGTGTGGCAGAGATTAGGGGTCCCCAACTCTATTTGAGATGCTTGGGTGTAGCCACAGGCAAGTATAACTAAAGCAAAAATATAACTGGAAAGATGAAACTGAATTAACTGCATTGGATAGCACTGTAATTTGGCTGAAGGCGTAGCACGTTAACCAAGGGGGAAAAACCAGTACAGGGTCTGGAAAATGAGCTCTGTGTATTGGTCAGCATTTATCCAGCCCTGCTAGGGAAGAGCAATTGTGAATTCTGTGGCCACCGGCTCTGCCATGTTTGAGGGGAAAATCTTGAGGGAGAACAGGAGATTCTTTTATTTGGGGATTGGACACTTTACTAATTAAATGTACAAGTTTTTTTTTTTTTAAAGTTTATTTATTTTTGAGAGAGAAAGAGGGAGAGGGTACATGAATGGGGGATGGGCAGAGAGAGAGGGAGAGAGAGAGAGAGAGAGAGAGAGAGAATCCCAAGGAGGCTCTGCTCAGAGCCCAGTGTGGGGCTCGAACCCACGAACCGTGAGATCGTGACCTGAGCTGAAATCAAGAGTCAGATGCTCAACTGACTGAGCTACCCAGGTGCCCTAAATGTACTAGGTTTTAATTGGATAACTGCAATGTAGCCAGAATCTACTTACTGGACCTGATGCCCACTCTATACAAAAGGAGGGACAGTCACTCTTTAATTCCTTATAAATATTCAGTGCTTTACCTGCAATGGTCCATTAAGCACTAGTAATAATGCATTCAGTAACATGAAGGGCAGAGTGAAGAAGGCGATATGCGTTTAATATCCATCTTCTAGTGTTGCTGTTGACATTAGCTGGAGAAAGACCTTCTCACTTTTTGTTTTGATCACCACTTATTGTTTGCTGGTTATTCTTCTCTGGCTTTGGAGCTGCAGTGATGTGGACATGGCTCGGGAGTTCTGTTCCTTTAGCCATTTTGAACATCCATACAAATCCCAGCTGCCTGAAGAACTTAAAGGCAGTAATTAGCATCAATCTGGTAACTGTCCAAGGTGGCTGCATTGGCTCCTTTCCCCTGCCGAGTTCAGATGTCTTCCACAGCCCACCCTCTTCTACGGCAACATCACACCGCCGGGTCGGCAAGACTTTCCACTTGGCTTGAAGTGCCTGACCAGGGGCCCACATTCTTGGAACGCTCTTGGAGTTTCATGAATTTTATCTTTCAAAACCAGTTTCAGGACGAGCTCGCTGAGACAAGGAAGCAGGGGTGACTAACAGGATTGTAGAGACTCTCTATTTGGGGGAATTATACTAAAATGACATCTCAGTGAGACAGACCTGAGAAAGGAAACAATACAGGTGGAAGAAAACAGTCTGAGGGAGAAAAAAGGACAGGAGAGTGGCAGGAAGGAAAGAGGGAAGAATGTGAAATTTCTGGCAAATGCTCAAATTGCAAATACGAGTGGCAAGGGACAAAACACCCATTTGATTTTGGAGGATACTACGTAACTTTTAATTTATTTACCTTTCAAGCAGTGTTTGCTAATATTAGCATTGACATCCCCTGCACATATAATGGGGAACATGTTTGAGATTCTTTTTGGCTAACTGACTTTGAGCAAAAACAAGTTAAAGCTATTATTAGTTTTCTTTTCTGGGAGCCAGAAGGGGCCAAATCTACCTTCGGAGGTTTCTCCTTGTATCTCATCATTAAACGCTCTTGATTCATACGTTCATTAAAAGTGTTTACGCCGGTTCCAACTTGAAAAGCTGCCCTAAATGGCATTGTGCCAGAAGTTGATTCTCATTGCTTCAGAAGGAGGGAAAAATATTCTTGTAGTTGAGGGTGACGCTGTGGCACTGGGCAAGAGGGGACATTCCTTCCCAAGAATAAATGACTTTACTGAGGTCAAATGAAATTTTGCCCGGTTCTTTACCCCCATGGAAAACGAAAGTGTCTAATCTACCCTCCAGATGAAGGGCATGGGAGCACGGAGCAGACAGGCAGATTACCCCTAAGTGTTTGAAAAGACCCGTGCAGATGGCAGAGAGAGCTGTGCTCTCCGGCCCCATGTGGTTTTAGACCCCTGAACTCTTCCCTATCCATAGCCTTACGCTCATGGCCGTGGAAAGAATCAGAATCAGACTTAACATTTTAATCACATCCAGAGGCACGGTAAGCTGGAACTTCAGCCAGAACAGATCTGATTTCCTTCCCAGACTTGACAACTTTGCTTTATAAAATAAGTTCAGTGACATTTCAAGGGTTAATTAGGAGACTTTAGAAATCTTGGACTGGCATTGATCTTTTAAAAATATTTATACAACTTCACTTTATATGATGCCACGTGTGTGTGTGTGTGTGTGTGTGTGTGTGTGTGTGTGTTTTAAGAGCTCAAAGCATTTAAGATTTTCTTTCCAAACCCTAAACATTTGCAAAAGTACCCAGGAAGGTGAGATTTATTAAGCACATTTGGAAGGCTAGGACGTGGACTCACTTTAAAGTTGAAAGGTAGGAGGGCGGCTCACTTACTCACTCCCAGGCCAGGCAGTGGGAGAGAAAAACTAGAGCTCCTGTTTCCAGGAGTCCTGTCTCCAGGACCCCTGTCTCAGCGCACTGCCTCTCCCTTTCAAACCCATTGTGGGAATCCAGAAGGACCAGATGACTCCTCCACTGCTCCTTTGTTAACCCAAGAGCACCTCTCCTGCAATGTTTCCTGGCTCCAGATTTCTCTATAAAAAATGCAACCAGACCACATACTCCTCAGCATCCCAGGATTCTATCCCCGGAGCCCAGCTCTCCTCGGGAGGGAGTATGAAACTTGCAGAAGGCATTGGAGGTGAAGGCAAGCCGAGGGGGGCGGGAGGTGAAGGCTCAGAGAGAATGTGCTGTCCATTCTGTCCTCACAGCTCATGGAGGATTCCTGGGTCTCACCATCCTCCCCTCTCCAAGGCTTAGGCTGTTCAGAGATCACTGGGCCTCTTAACCTATTCCTGGGAGTGGCTTTTCTCAAACAGGCACTTTTATTATCAAATGAGTGATGGGGGAGGGGGAGGTGAGGAAAGATAGGAGAAGCTGATGCAGTCTTCCGTCACATCATCAGTTTGTAATGAAAAACCTATGCTGTCTCATCGTTACGGGGACAGAATTCAGTTTTCAAGGGTTGCGAAGATGCAGTATTAAATCAGTGTGTGCACGCATGCGTGCCTGCGTGCGTGCGTGCGTGCGTGTGTGTGTGTTTTCCCCAGCATCCACTTCAGCGAATATTTTCTCCTTTCCACTTTGAAATATTTTTCCTAAAAAACAAAGTAATGTAGGTTCATTGCAGAAGATTTGGAAATGTGACCCACAAGAAACTGAAATTCACCTGTTAATTTTACCATGTAATTTTATCAACATTTTGGTGAATAGCCACAGTCTGTCCTCTATTCTCCCATGGAATAGAAGTCCCAAGAGGGTAGGGATCTTGCTCACATCTGTGACCCAGAGCTCTGAACAGTGCCTCATGCGTGGCAACGTGCAGATATATCGGTTGCATAAATGCCTAACTGTAAAAGAATAATTTGGATTACAATTAAAATAGGTTGTCACGATGCAACAGGGAACAGAAATAGAGTTGCCTGGATGTGGCAGACTTGGATCCAAGCTGCAGCTAATAATTTATGGTCACATCACCTCTCTGGGCCTGAGTTTCTCCTTCAGTCCAATAACCATAGTTAACACTTACTGAGTGCTCAACTAGGTGCCGAGCATTATCATAAGCTCTCTCCGTGTTATTTCTCACTGCAGCTCTGTGAAATGGGTACCTTCTGCCCCCATCTGATGCCTTGGCTATAGGACCAAGTGACTTCCAGGGCCCCTCCCTGCGAAGCTCAACTGCGGAGCAAGGTCCAGATGATTATTACATGGAGATCAGAGAGCAAAGTTCTTAACTGGAGGACTTGCTCCTGAATGTGAAGAGTCCACATGGGCATTCATTCACACAGCGTAATTAGAGACCAGTCTGCTGTGGAAGCAGCGCTCCATCATTCAGAGGCATTACAAGGGCTCGCGTTGTGTCCTGTTCTGGTTCCCAGGACAGCTGTCCCTAGGACGGTGCACCTAAGGCAGGGAAGCAAGTAGGAACTGAATCTGATCATTTCTGATGGCTGGCAACCCGGATGCATGAGGCAGGGGAGGAGGAATGGGAATCTCCTTTGATGATTAGCGAGGATTTCAACGGGCAGGGCTCTGTCCTGTTCCCCCGCCCCCTCCTCCCCAGATGTACATTTGGACAGATAAGTTGTGTTTGCCTATGCCCATGGTAACCGTGTCTCCTTTTTGGTGAGGAGGAACGGGCTTCGGTAAATAGATCTATTTGTGTGACTCCTAGTACTCATTTGAAGCAATGTCACTCCTTTTTCCACTGTGGTCTGTGTGTGTGTGAGTCAGAGGGAGCCTAAACAGGCTTCTTTGAATTGATGGCTCACTCCCAGCCTCTCTTGACCAACTGCCAACCTAGCAGGGCGTAGCTTACCAACAAATCTTTTTTTTTTTTTTTTTAAAGGCAGACTGATTCATAGAAACTCCTTTAAAACGCAGTGAAAAGAAACCGCCCATCACACACCCCAGCACACTAGCCCTGGAAACTTATAACCTCGGGAGGCAGGTCCCTCCCCACACTGTGGTCACATACCTTCAGAAGAGCGGACCAGGCAGCCACCAGCTCCTCAGGGCGCCTCCGTCGCTTAGGACCCTCAGGTAGGACAGCTTCCAGCGCTGCGGGGAAGCTTGGCAAACTTTCTTTCCTTCTCTGCTCTCCTTCTGACCTCGTCACCTAAGCTCCGCGTTTTCTTTTTCCCTGTAGCTATTTGTCTATGAGTCTCTGAATTGAACTCTTTGAAACATCTGGCTGAAAGTGGATACTGAGACAACTTTTTCCATAAGGTTCAGAAAAATGCCTTTTGACTGGGAGTTTGGGGGACCCGGGGTGGAGGGTGGGGGTAAGTCCGCGGGACTGGGCTGTGATTATGTTTTGCAGTAACTGGGTCCTTGCTCTGAAATGTGGAGGGAGCAGGGATTTTGGAACACGCCAGGATAGGGCATTCTTCATGGGGAAACACTACATGCCTTTGAAAGGGCGCACCAACTTGCCAGATGCCTTCCAGTTTGTCCGTTTGGATTCAATTGCTTCAGGATTTGGGTTGTTTCTCTTGGTTGTTTGCTGGTCTCTTTTGGATGATAGGTAGATACGTGCTTTTCTGTTTATTTTAGTTGTTGCATTTGCTCCTGCTCTTTTAGCTTGTTCATTCACTTCTGTTTGAATGTGTTTTTTCTCCCCACAGGATGGGAGGAGGGGGTTGGCTTGTTTAAAGAAAACAGAGAGGTTGGTGGTGGTGGGGGGGAGCGGGCGGGTTGGGAATCAACTGGTGTGTCAGAGAAAATGCGGGAGAGTTGCGTTTGGTGGAATCAGCCTGATGTGGATTCCAGAGCTCCATGTCTCCTGGCCAGATGTAGAGGATGGGGAGAGGCGGGAGGGAAACTGGGTTTGCAGGAGAGGGTGGGGCAGGGGAACTTCATCTGGTGTAGAAAAATGGTGAATGGCTTTGTGCTTCCACCCCAGAAACAGCTGAACTTTAGTTCTGAGTGGAGAGAAATAACCATTATTATCAGAAATAAGAAAAGAATTTTTTTTTTTTTTTTTTTTAGCTGAATGTGGAAGTTTTCGGCATGGAAGGCAGTGATTGTTTTGGAACATTTTATCTTCTCGCTCTTCCAGAATGTGGTTGTGCAAACGCAAACACTAGTATTAATGGTAAAGAGAGTCTGGAGAAAGGAAGAAGGGTGATTTCTATTTGCTTTTTTTTTTTTTAATGTTTATTTATTTTTGAGGGGGGGCGGAGGGGCAGAGAGAGGGAGACACAGAACCTGAAGCAGGCTCCAGGCTCTGAGCTGTCAGCACAGAGACCAATGCAGGGCTCGAACCCATGAACCGTGAGATCATGACCTGAGCCAAAGTCAGACGCTTAACTGACTGAGCCCACCCAGGCGCCCCTGATTTGTTTTATTTTTAAGTTAGCATTTTGGCCTAGGTGTGGCCCATTTCAACATAGATACTGGTTTTATTTTTCCTCCACATAAACAAGATGAGGAAAATGACAGGATTCAGCTTGTCAGACGAAATTAGGCTTTTCCTTTAGAAATGCAATTCGTTGGAAGAGACCATTTCAATGCAATCAGCCTGTGTACATTGTACAGACAAGGCGCCTCGTAAAACTGCCCTCGAGGGGATGATTAACTAAGTGCAAGGGAAACTTTTCAAGCTGCAGGGAACTCCCACATTTGCTTAAAATGTTTATTATTTCCAGATTACATGGTTGTGGATTCAAGGAAGCCATTATTAAGTTGATAGTAATGGTATTCTATGAATCCAGCATGAATCTTCTTGTAGTTCTGTGCAACTTAAAGCTATAAGCAATATTTATCCAGTCAGCACATAGAAAATACTGACAAATCTGGGAGTGTCGACCATCACGAATTGCATTTTTTGTGTGTGTGCATTTCACATTACACTGTAGTTCTAGCAGTGAGAAAATACGCTGTATGTTATTTCCTGGAGTTTTAGGGCAATTGTTGAAATGCTGTTCTAATTCTTGCCTTTCCCACTGCCTCTAAGTAGTGAGGGAGCTCCCTAGCTGCAGGAGTGTTTCTGGATTTCAGCTCTAAGTCTTTGAAAATACTGAAATGTGAGGGTTATTTTTTCCCCCTGCAGCCTCCCACCCTCAGAGTCGGATTGAATTCCACCACAGACTCTGAAGAATGGGGCGGGGGTGGAGTGCTGTCTGGAGGGCTGCAGGACATCCGGTCTGGCATCCTGGTCAGAGGACCCCCCAGATTTTACATTGTTTGAGGGCACTAAACTGTCCTGAGAGTTGGCACAAGGCCATCAAGGGCCAACCCAGAGCAGATCACATCCCAGAACAGATGCTGGCTACTTCCCAGGACTACAGGGCACATCTCTGAGGAAAGGAAAGGCATCCCTTCTACTGGCCACTAGAAAAACTTACTGTGACTTTCTCAACTCTTCCTGCTTCCCTCTGAGACCCGCTTAGGCCTATCCAGTTCCCAGGGGCCATCCAGACTCCAGGGGGCCTTGCGAGTGGGCTCCATAAAGACCACCCTGGGGTGCAGACCCTCTTGGCTTGGTGTGGAGGGTGCAGTGGGGGGTTGGTTCATGCCAGATGCACAGGGATCAATGGAGAGACAGCAGTCAGCGACCTAGAAGGCTTATAGATGAAGCAAAATGTTTTCCTGTAGACTCCTCAGAGCCCGATAGGAAGTACATCTGACAAATGGCCATAGAAAAGGGCACACGGCAAATTTAGTTACACTTTGTCTTTAATTTTGTTCATCAAATTCTCAGTTTGAGGGAGATTCTCAGTCTGAGGATCAATTCATTCATTCTCCACCATATGCAGAAATCCTATTTTTACACCACCTTGGACAGATGGCCACTTTACATTTCCTTAAAATTTCCAGAATAGGGGTGCTCACTACCTCCGGGTGAGAGTCTCCGTGCTCCCCCACTACCACCCGCCCACTTTGCCAGACAAGTCTAATTATTAGACTTTCTTAAATTCAGCACAATTGGCTTCTCTATAACTTCTATACTGTGCTCCTAGTTCTGTTCCTGGGCATGCAGAAAATATCTCTTCCATTTTTGTTGTCGCTCTACTCTTATTCTCTAAATGCTTAACCCTTAATTAATGTTCAATGGATAAAACTTGACGAATTGGTATTATCATTATTACCTAAGACTCCGAGAGAGCAGGAAGCATTTTTAAAACTTTACAACTATGCACGTCGTCAGCCATACCCACAGGATTTGATTCTGAGGGATTTCATTTTCTAAACACATGAATATGGTTTCTTCTTTCACTTACCACGAGTATATCCAAGGCTGCCGAACACAAAAGCTCAGAGACATTTGGGACTCTCGGACGTACAGACCCAGAGGGGACACACCCAGTCGCTACTTACGGAGGTGATGGTTAAATCAGTCAATCTAATACCAGAGGCACAGGCTTCGAACTTGGCCTTGCCGGGGTTATCCCGTAACTTGGTTTATAGTTCACGTAGCTCACACCTTTACATTGTTACCACCTGTCATGATAGCTCCAGGAACACGCTGCCAATCCATTATAACCCCAGACTAATTGCTTGGCCAGCACAATGGATGTCAGTCCTGGAGAAGAGCTCATAACCTTTAGCCAGGGTAGATCTGAAAGTTTCTGACCGTGACATTCTCTTTTCCAAGACTCTTCCCAGTTCTGCTTAGATGATTCCGGATTTCTGTTCAGTAATCAAGGGAGCCTTGATTGCTTGAATTCACAATACCCCACCCCCAAACACATATGTCTTGAGACCACTTTTTGTGATACTTCAGTCCCTGGTGCCCTGAAATAATTTCTTGCAATTTAACTGAGAGATCCACTGACACTGAAGCATAAAGATAAAAGTACAAACCCTTGTGGCGATCTCTGTTTCTCTCTCTTCCTTTGAAGAAATATTTGGGTCAGCATTTTCTCCCCTGTTCTGGAAATGGGCATTTCCCAGGAACTAAAATGGACTCCTCCGCTCTTGGTGCCATTGACTTGATGTGGATGCGGCAGCTTTTGTATTTCCTGAGTCTGTTTCCCGAATTCTTCCCTCAAATGGGGTAGTTAAAATTGAGAACACGGGCATAGGTTGAAAGTGATGGTAAGAATCTCGGGGCAGATGCAACATGGCTGAATAGGGGAGGGAGGGTTGTGGTCTGGTCCCCACTCTGTCCTGTGACCATGGGCAAGTCACTTGTCTTCTTCGTGGAGGGAACAGAGCTTGATGGTCTCCCCGGCCTCCCTGTGGCTCTGAAATCTTATTGTTCTAAGGTCTTATCGTCCCGTTTTGAGGAACCCCTTGGCTCATGCTGATAGTTCAATCCATAAAAGTTGGGAGAAAAGTTAACTGAGGCATCATGTTGCATCGCAGGGCATTTTACACAAGGTTGAGGGTCCAGGCAGCCTCCTGGGCTCATCTGCTCTGAGATTCCTTTCGCCTTGTCATCAGATAGTAATGATTCACCCAGCTCTTGGAAGAAAAGGAAGAGGTCTGACTGATTACCCACAAAGGGCACCAGCTCAGATGAGAAGAGGCAGGCCATAGAAGCCTGTTAAGACACTGACAACAAAAAAGGATTCACCAGTAACCAAACCAGGTTTAGGAAGAAACCGAGCTGGTCCTGGGAAAGGAGCTCCACCCTCTTGTCTGGGAGGGGGACCCTGCAGCGTGAGGGTGTGGCGGTAAAGGTGTGGATGAGAGCGAATCTTAGAATCTTCAAATTCAAATAGTCGAATAGAACAGTCGTAGAGGAGGAAGAGGGAGCGGGTGCAAAGGCAGGTGTTTCCTTAGGCTTGTGTGTTGAGGGAGAAGAAGAAGTGTCTAGAAGACAGTTCTAGAAGAGGTCGAAAGAGCGCGCCGCGGAAAGAGAAAGACAGGGAGAAGTTCAGGGAGGATCCCACCCTATTTCCTTCCCTTCTTGTCTGGGGAACACCCCCCCCCCCCTCAATGTTTCTGAACATTCCTCAGGGTCAAATATTTTGTTCTTTGTCCCCTGTGAAGAACCTTTGTTGCCCAAGCTGCAAATGGTGGTCAATACATCCTTGGTGTCATTTGAATTTCCACTGAAAATTTATGCCAACAGGGCAGTGATCTCCCTTGAT